GCCTTGAGCTGAAGAGCTGAGGGACAGCACCAGGCCCAGAGTTCAAGCCCCACAACCAACCAAAAAAAAGCTTCATAATTCACATTCTTCTCAGCATTCCATGGAACTTCAAAATATCTCAGATATTTTTTGTCTTAACAGATACAAAAAATTAAAATAATTTCTTGTATCTATATTTCAACATATTAGAAAATCCAGAAGAAATTGGTAATTTTTGACCTGCCAGAATTTAACCAAGAAGATAACATCATCCCAAACATCTGTAACATTCAGTGAGACTGAAACAGTAATACTCTTCCAGTGAAGAAAAGCTCAAAATCAAATGGATTGTCTGCTGGATTCTTCCAACTTTTAAAGAAGAATATATCTAAATTATTTATAGCTATAAATCAAGAAGGGAAGAAATACTCAAAACTCATCCTGGAAACTAATTATTGCCTTAATGAACAGAAGGATATAACAAAAAGCAAAATTGTAGATCAATTATTTTGATGAAGAGAGATACGAAAATTCTGAAGAAAATACCTGAAAACCAAATTCAGTAGTAACACATTTTAAAAGATCAATTTGGTTCCATTGCAGTGATGGCTAAGCATAATGCATATCAATAAACATAATCCAGCAGATAAATGGAATCAAGGACCAAAATCAATAGATTATTAAGATCACTTAAAGATAAAACCTTGGACAAAATTTAACAGCTCATCAAAGGAGGATATTCTTAGGAAAGGAACACAAAGGCACAATGCCTATATGCATCTGATCATATAAAATAATATTTGTCAAAATGAATGCTAGGAAATGAGGGTTTTTTTCTATGTTTATATTTTTGTTTTCTTTTTGTCTTGTTCATTCGTTTATCTTTTTATCTGCAGTAGTGGTACTCACGAGACACTATAGTGAAAATGACTATATAATTTGTGGGTGGGGACAGGAGGAAAAAACTGACAGAGCAAAGAAAGGAGTGACATTGTCAAAAAAGAAATGTACTCATGGCTGGGCACCGACAGCTCATGCCTCTAATCCTAGTTACTTAAGAGGCTGAGATATGAGGATGAACGATCAAAGCCAGCCCAGGCAGAAAAGTCCATGAGACTCTTATCTACAATAAACCATTAGAAAATCAGAAGTAGCGCTGTGGCTGAGCAGTAGAGCGCACTTGCCTTGAGCTGAAGAGCTGAGGGATAAAGCCCAAGCCCAGAGTTCAAGCCCCATGACCAACCAAAAACAAAAAAAGAAATGTACTCATTACCTGACTTATGTATCTGTAACCCCTCTGTATAGCACCTTTACAATAACAATAAAAAATAAAATAAGATTCAGAGCCTGGGAATGTGGCTTAGTGGTAGAGCTCTTGCTTAGCATTCATGAAGCCCCGTGTTTGATTCCTCAGTACCACATAAACAGAAAAAGCTGGAAGTGGCACTGTGGCTCAAGTGGTAGAATGCTAGCCTTAAGCAAAAGAGGTTCAGGGACAGTGCCCAGGCCCTGAGTTCAAGCCCCAGTACTGGCAATCATCATCATCATCAACAACAGCAACAACAATTCTATATGGTTAACACCTTGAAGAAACTAGGATATATTAACATAACAAAGGCTACATAGAACAGCTCTGTAGCCAACATTATACAGAATGGTGGGGAAAAAATGTAAAGTGTTTCCTCTAAAATCAGGAATAAGGGGCTGGGAAGGTGGCTCAGTGGTAGAGCGCTTGAGTTGAAGAGCTGAGGGACAGCGCCTAGGCCCAGAGTTCATTCAAGCCCCATGACTGGACCCAAAAATAAATAAATAAATAAAATAAAATCAGGAATAAACTAAAGGTGCTCATTTTTATTCAATTTAGTGCTCAAATTCTTAGCCAGAGCAACAAGGCAAGGAAAAGAAAGCAGATACAAGTAAGGAGTAAAATTACTCCAATTTTGGGCTGGGAAGGTGGCTCAGTGGTAGAGCGCTTGCCTTGCATGCATGAGGCCCTGGGTTCGATTCCTCAGCGCCACATAAGCAGAAAAAAAAAGCCAGAAGTGGTGCTGTGTCTCAAAAGGTAGAGCGCTAGCCTTGAGCTGAAGAGCTGAGGGACAGC